TTTAGTACTGAATTCAAAGAAGATGTCTCTTTTATCCAGTCATAATAATTAAAAAAAATTTGTTTGTTAAGAAGTGTATCTTAAAATATCTGCCTTGACATTTATGTTAAAAGTGTAAAATATGTAAATGTACATACATAAACTTTCCCGTGAATACCATCAAATCATTGGTCTTGAAGGGAATCTATGTATGCATGCATGCATATGAGCAAATTAAAAAATCGATACAATTTACAGCCGAAAAGTACAGTTTTTGTATAGATTATAGATTATTTCCCAACACTGTGGGGAACGAAGCAAAATGGCCTAGTGTATTTCGCAAATATTCAAATAAGGGGGGGACGGGTATCTATCCCCCCAAATCCCCCCCCCCCTGGCTACGCCACTGAGTGGCAACATTTCGTGTGAATTTTTGAGCCACCCTAACGTACATAAAATATATATTTCTTCACATACAGCGAAGTGCGTGTCCACACTATTTTGGCATTCGTTTTTATGTGGGCTGCTTAAAGAAACATGCCGCATTGGCGTAAGTCACTTCACCATACCTGCTGTCAGCTATCGACTACCGGCAACTTTGTTATCATTTTATTTGCATTCTTTTTCATTAATAAATTTTTGTTTGTTTGTGGTGGTCGCTATTGTCATGTTTTCTTAATTTGCTCAACTTTTTAATTTTGCTAATAGCTTTTAATTCATGTCACTGCCATGCACAGTTAACCAAAAAGTGAAAAAGATGCGGCAAAATTTTATACAACTTCTAAGTACATTATTTTGTGTTCAAATTTTTAGGGCTGGTTTCCAATAGACTTTAAAAGCTCCAAGCTACAGAGTCTTAATTCAAAAAAATTTAAATAAAATTTTGCAACTAATCCATTATGATAGCCAAATTTAAAAAATGGAGGTGACAACTTATACAAACCCTTTTATCGGACAAATCATGTGATCCCTGCTTTAGCTTGTACGCATAGGCTTGTGCTTTTCTGGGGTAAGTCGGGTACCACAACTTTCATGACAGCTAAATGACAAATGCCATTTTTGGTCTATCTGAAGAGGTATGTAACTAAAGAAACGAACCGGGGTTTCCTTTGTTCGAAAACTGTTGCACACTGTGTATGTATGTACCACTGTGCATAATATTTTGATAAAAAAATATTAGAATTAATAACACAGATATAAAAATGTGACACAAGCACTAAAAATATACAAAGCCGCGTGGTCAGTTTCCACATTTAACTAACTTTTCATACATGTGTATGTATTCATATATGAATGCCGGAGTATATCTACTAGTTAGAAACATTTTTCTCACGTGGCCTTTTCATTCGAAAAATTGCAATTGCATTTCAATGCATGTACGCATATTGGGTTAGAGTCTAATTATAATTATTGTTATTAGTTATACATAAACTGGGAACTTTTACAACCCAGCGCACATGTGCAGAGGGCTATTAAAACCTACTTTGTAAAACGTCTGTTGGTATAGGTTGTATTGAAAATGCACACCAATTTGCTTGGATTGATGAGGAAACCCGACTTAGCCATACCCAATTAACTGGCTTTGTGTGCACAGGAAAATTCCAGCATAAATTAATAATTCACCAAAACTACTTAATCAAATTAAGGGTTAATGATTAAAAATTAATTTTTTTAATCGCGGTTACTACCAACTGTTTAATCAGATTAAAATTAATCATGATTAGTAATCGAATTAACTAATTGATTAAAAAATCAATCGATTAGTGCCAACACTGGGTTAGACAATGTGAATTAGGTTAAAACCCTGAAAGTGAAACTTATCGCAACTTACAAGAAAAGTTTTCTTTCGACATGTATAGCTCACATAATATTTGCATACTCGAAAATTTTCTGGAAATTCTGAATAAAAATTTTGAAATTTTTGTGAAAATTGTTTGAATTTTTGCGAACTTTATATCAAATGTGAAACTTTGATTTTTATGGTTTATGTTATAGAATGAATTATGTTTTCATAAGTAATTAATGAAAAAAAATACATATATATGTACATAAGTGCAATAGCACCTGTAAAAAAGTCACTTTCTGTCTCTATTTTTTTATAAAAAGGGGATCTAAAGCAAGTAGAGAATGTCATTTAAACAACTCCCTCTTATCTTCGTACAAAATATTAAATAAATAGATTTTGTTGTTTGTCTCACGTCATATATATTGCATATATGTACATACATACATACTTATAATAAAAAATAAAATAATTAAAATTGTTTACATATAGCTAACCGTCTGAATTTCCTTTTATGCCGGTAACCGACTGAAATGTGTAGGTATGTGAATATATGTATGTACACGTGTGCATATGCATGAATATGAGAAAAAATTTAGCAAAATAAAATATCGAAATAAAAGTAAAACTTCTGCCGGTCGCTTTGTTCTTGTTATCATATGTATGGACGTTATTCGCTAGCTTATAGCATATACATACGGCAACGTTAATCCGGATTAACGGGGCAGTTCATCTGATCAAAATTGCACCTTGACCGGCGGCCGCGGGGCGGGCCCGTCGAGGGCGGGATCAAACATGCCCCTTGTGTGAAACCTTTCCCGGCTCATCTTACTGATCCTAAAAGATCGCTTGAAGCTACAGAAATCTTGAATCTGATCGCTGAAACAAGATCAGATGTGAAGTGTATTAAAACGTATATGAAATCGTTTCAATGCATTTAGTTGGCTGAAAACTCTGACCCAAATTATCGGAGTAACATTTTTTCAAGCTAAATATCCTACGTTGGATGTGGAAGCTGCCAACATAAATAATTTAATGGAAGATCTTAAGTTTTGAGGAATCAGTGCTCATTGATTTCTCAAGAATGCAGAATGGCGGCGAAAAATATTGGTTACTTTTAGATGCGTTCTAAAAGAAACTGCTTGAAACCAGAAAACTCAGTTCAAGCAAGAGGTCTTCTACGTTCTGTTGGACTACTTCATGGTAACATGACGCGACGATTTGATACTTTCAAGAAACTTGAATCAATATTTAGACCTTTTTATGGGAAATATCTTGTGTTAAACGAAGAAAACCTGCAAAAGCAAGCAGCTGAAAAAGAAGCTGTGGACATTTCTATTGATTATTCCTATTATTCTATTTCATTGACACACACAAATGACAAAATTTCAGTTTAGCTGCAATGATCTTTTACACCTAGTAAATTATCTCTGTACTAATGTATCCGTAGTTAGTAAAATTTATACTTTGTCTAAACCCTTATTATCGTAGTTAATACTAAATAATCCCTCAAAACGATTCCGGAGATTTATGTATTTAAAAAAAAAAAATTCAATTCAAAGGACACGCCGATGCTATCTTCCCAAGGGCCCTGCGCGACTCTCGACGACCCTGCCGTGAAGTCGAATCCAAATTCTACGGTTAGCAATTTTTTTTTTTACTTTATTTTAGTTCCCTCAATTAATACTTTCATTTTTTAAATGTAGATAATTATAGTTGCTGTGGCCTTATTCGGGGGCTGTCTGCAGGTCTGAAGGAAATCCGAAAAATTCATACAAAAAATTTTCTTCAATCAAAATTTCTTAAATCAGTATGCAGATCTCAAGAAAAAAATGCCCGTAAACATATCTGTGGAAATTAGACGAAACAACGACATTCAGTAACCGGCCCTAAGCCTATCTTTCACAAACAAAAAAAATAGCATATGTCGGCAAAGCAAAGAGAAATTTGGAAGGTAGTGAATAGCGATAGAATATTTTAATATTTCTTTCGAACTATAACTTTTTCTCTTTGACGGTAAAATATGTTTTGGCGAAATATGCTATTTGGTTTGTCCGTTAAAGATAAACTTATGTTGTTTTGTTAAATTTCCACAGATATGTATGTATTTCTGCAAGAAAATTTACAGCAACAGCAAAGTATTTTTCTAGCAGCAGAAATAATGATAAATATTTATTTTGATTTTTCTCCTCTAAAAAAAATAAAAAATGTATATGAAATATCATAAAAATCTAATAAAATTGAATAAAACAAAATATCTAATTAAAAAAAAAATAAAATAAAAAAAATTTCAATTTTAAAGATCGATCGTACCTGGGACCGAACCTGGGTCTGAATAAGTTGACAAACACAGTTTCGACTACTTGGGTACCGCGTACGCTAAGCTCGTTTGCATTGTTTGCTTACTTTTTTGCTTCGTTTACTTTTCACTCGCATTCGTTCATTTTTCATTCATAATAAACAATAGCTGGCCGTTTTGGATTAATCCGGATCAACTACAGTTAACTTCCGAGACAATTCCGAATTAAAGAGTTGATCCTGATCAACACTACCGTCTGTCTATACTTTTCCCCCTTCCCCCGCCTTTTTCTACAATGACATTCCCTACCAAAAAGGATTACCATATTCGTTTGTTATATCACTATTTGCTTGTTCTAAGCTGTTTTTTTTGCAATTTTTTTGTTTTAAAAATGCTGATTTTTTGTAGGTGAATCGCTTGACGTAATCGCAACACTTTTTTAATACTACATACTTATGAACTTAAATATGTATGTATGTAATATGTATGCGAGAGTAGGTGGAGTGGTGAATGTGATAGAATCCCATCTCTGTAAAGGGTGGGCGCGTCGTGTGGTGGGCTATCACCAACAAAGGCATCACTCACTTTGTTTTTATAAGTAAGATGTACTTGGCTACGCAGTCGTCACGGTTTCAACAACAGCTGCGCAAAGTCGCGAGCCGCCGTGAGTCGCGCGTCTACAATACTAGCGAAAACTTAGTAGTGTTCCTTGAACATTTGCGGTTGTCACATCAGCTGGTCCCAGCCGCAGTAGCAGCCTCAGCCAAGGGAGCAAGCAAATTATTTGTAGTTACGGTGTCATAAAGAGTTGTTCGATTTGATTAGTAGGCCAATTGTTGGTAAAGTGAGAAGATCTAGTGGCGTAGTGCTAACATTAGAGTAGAATAGTAAGGTTTCCCTGAAGCTTAATAAAATTTGTGTGATAAATACAAGTGAAACATTGTGAAATAATAAAAAAAATCTAAATATATATTGGTTTTTAGCCAATGCTCTTTGCGCTGTTACATAAAATCTAAAAAATTAAAAATTGGTATTAGTGAGCTAAAATGTGGAAATGTCTTGTTAACTGGACAAATCGGCGCACAGTGTGAGAGAAATTCTACGCACCAATGCGCGAAAGCCGTTATCAAAATTCCTGTTGCGGAAGTGTACTACAACTGATAAACGAAAGTTACGTTTTTCATTTGTGCTTGCTTTTGCTGATATTATCTGTGTTGAGTGCCTACTTTCAAATAATCGAGCATGCAGATCAACAGATAAAGTAAATTATCATTGGGTTAACCAGCAAATTGTATACTCACTTCAATTGATTACGCGGATACATGTACTCTGACATACAAATACATACATACTTATGTATAAAACATCAATAACATTTGGCCCACACTCAGATTGATGTTATCAAAAGAATAAAGATAAAAAGTGACTAATTTTTATGTGAGTAATCATCCAATGAGTATTTACCTATTGTAGATAATGAGTTATTTGACATTGCGCCACTATTCTATTATGTCTAGAATTTTTCATTCATCACATCGAATATGTATATTGCACTTACTCTTTGACACAATTCCATCGTCATTACCACCAAAATGTTGGCCTTGTGACATGGTTAATCATAGGACATCAGCTATCTACGGAAGCCATAATGTTTAGGTAAAATTAGGTTAGCTGGCAGTACCGCAAAGAAGCACACTAATATAATTTAGGCCTAATACACTGATGAGGTATTGCCTACTTTCGAAAGCTATAAATCTTTAGATTAACGCCAGTTTTGCAATCGCTTAAAACTTGCACTTTATTATACTAAAATTTAATGGGCTGCAAAACTGCATACTCAAAAAAATTCTAAAAAAAAATTTAAAATTGTATGTACTCATTTTATTCAGCTTAGGTGTAAGAAAAAATTCAAACCTCAAACTATTGTAGAGTGCACCCCGTAATACTATACTTAAATATAGCGCAATACTCAGAGCTACCATTGTGATTATTTGTTTTAAATTTTTTTTTGAGATGGCATATTTTCAAAAACTATTTTTTTTTAATCAAAATATTTGTTTGTGAAAAATTTTTAATAAAAAAAAATTAATATTTTTTTCATAGAGAATTTCGATGGGTGTATGTGTGAATTTTTAAAATTTTTTCCTCGCCTCGTTCTCGAGATATTTGGAAAACTATTAAAACGATTTGTTTTTGTTTTTGTTCTGTAAAGTTTTTAAAAATGTATTAATCCAGCTGGAATTTCATATTTATTTATTATTTATGTTTGTCCATCAACCCTAAAAATTTGAAACAAATCAAACACATGAAGTGTGAACCCCGTCCATTTTGGTATGGCTCGCCCCATATAACAAGGCAAGGCAAGCTGGAACTCGTTTCAAATGTTTTTCCTTGGCGCACGTTGCCGCAAAGTAGTTACGCTCCCCATAAAGCCATTGATTTAAAGATGAAAACAAATCCAACCAAAATCTATCATTTAGTTACCAGTGTTGAGTCCGTAAAACGCCTATTTGAGTCTTTACGTAAAAATACGATTCGTACAACACCGATATATAGTGATCTTCGAATGCTATTGATGCTATTTTTCTCCGGAAAAAGCCTTATGTATATCGTGTTAATAGCCATGTCTAGAATCAAGTCTACCAATTTGGCTAATGCGAGACATCTCGAAACTTGGACCACAGAGCCGCCTCATTTTTGTTCTCGACTCTATTAGCTAAAATTTTGCAGGCTGAGCGTACTTCATCTTGGATCTGTCATTTTAGTTGTTTGTTTTTAATTTTGCTCACCATAATAGTTTGAGGTGCCCAATAAGAAAACGTCGTGGAGGAATTTTGTCAAGGTTGTGACGTTTTTAGCTATTCGATAACACACAAGGCATTTGATTACAATTGATTAAAAAAAAACCTATCTAAAAAATTTACACAAATGTATACTCATACCTACATATGCACATGCATACATATATGTATGCTCATTAGGGTGGTCCAAAAATG